AATAAGTCGAATAACGAGAATTGATTTGTGAATACATATATTTTGTATATGAAGTGAATGAAACAGAGCCAAGCAAAATGACGCACAAGGAGGATGGCTGGGAAGCCAACTCCATTTTAATTAAGCGTTATTCAATATTTATAGGCAGACAAAATAAACTACAGACATGTGATGAATCATGGGACATGAATTGTACACACATATACGCTCATGTGAAAACAGTCAAGACTAATAAGCGAATAATTAACAAGGTCAAAACATGACTCAAGTAGAACGAATAGAATGGAATGTCCGGAAACTAGAATAAGATATATTATGTGCTAAAACTAATGACTAACACCACACACGATTGGCTTATTGAAAATAATTATTATTGTAACCAATTGTACCAGTGACTGTTTTAATGTGCTTTTGTTTAACTGTGCTAAAAAGCATCCATTATTCTCACACTTTTGATTGTGACTTCGCGCAAATTCGGTTACGTTCTGTAACCAAGCTTGTATCCTGGCACGATCTCGGTATTCTTTCGATACCACGAGATCGCCAGCAAATAGATCTCGACTTGGTCCATTAACTGCCTTCTGATATTTGGCTTCTCGGGGATTTTATCGATTTATTTGGTTACGTTCAACCTTCGCCTTCTGATTTACTTGGCACGTGTTTCTCTGTAGCGGTGTTCATAGTAAACCGCGACTCGACGCCACGCTACAACATTTTAGGAAAAACAATGTACTACAGAGTTACATATGTCAGTTTTAAATCATTTGTGCTGTTGTAAAACCGAAGCTGTAGTCTTTGTATTCTTAAGTTTTTCATATAATACTATGAAATGGAATTGTTAAAATTCAGTTCTGAGATTCACAATTATTCATTTAACCTTATTCTAGACAGTTTATTTTGAAGACACTTGATAGACCGATATATGTGTGGTTTTTTTAACATTAGCTTAGACTTATGGTTGGATTGAAAAAAAAACTCAATATTTGCAAATCATTTGAACTACTTATATACGTCCAATTTGTTCGAAAACAACACATGTTAGTCATTACTTCGTTTATTCCTCTACTTAGACCGATCATTTGTACTTTGGTAAAAGCTACGCAGCTATCTTTCGATTGAAATTCAAATCGTCTCGGACATCTGTTGAGAAGTACCCAGTTCTAATTGAAGTTGTATGTAAACCGTATGAACGCAACATTTCTATCTTTAGTGGCTGTGTTAGATCAAAATTTTACAAATTTAGATCTCATATACATGTAGAACTTGACTACCATACGTACTCATGTGAGTTTTATTTGTGTATATTATTTAAAAACTATTTACGGCTACCGATTTGTGAATGAAACATGGAAAATACGTTTATGTCATATAATTTATTCACCGGTTGATAAGTGGAATCCACTTTTTTGATAACTATTTCACATCTTACTTTTTACCCAATCTAACAACTATGATGAGAACAGCGTAACCCAACTTGATTTTAAGATAGATTGAGATCTTAAACCGATTGATGTTAGACTAACATTGAAAACCTGGAAGCACTGGACGACAGTTTCGTTCTATCATGGGTGTTATAACTAGATGCTTATATTCTTGATATACAGCGTAAAACTTGAGCACTAGAACGCTTGAACCCTTCCACGTCGCAATGAGAATACAGAAGGCTAGTGAAAGGAATGTTATTCCAGACAGTGTCAATTTTAGCAGGAAATTGTCAGGTATTTATAGTTCTTAGTAAGAAACGAAATCATCATTACAGTCCTCCAATCCGCACACAGGGAAATATTAGCATTGTTCAATCTGGAGGCTACATGTAGGGATTCTAGAATATTCTTCCAAAAGGTGATTGGATGGAATGTCTTCGACTCTTTCTGAGCCTCTCACAGAAGCCTCAAGTTTACTCGTGAAACTCCTCAGCAGTGGGAATCCACAATCCCGCTCGTGGGATTCGAACCCAGAACCTTCAGTCTCGTGCAACTTACTAGACCACTGAGCCGGCATCCTACGATGTTTTAAGAACCAGTTGTGTCGAAAAATGTATGGACAATTTCATAGCATGGAAACATACAGTGACAAACTAGTTATTCGAGTGTATTTTAAATAATATGACTGATAAGATTTATTCACAGAAATTAAGACATTTATCCGTATTGGCCGAAGTGATTTATAAAAATCGAAATTTCTCGCCTTAGGTCAAGGTTCTTGGTTATTTAGGCAAGACAACTATGCATTGCCACGTAGTCTATCCAGGTGTTTCGAATCTCATCAGTATACTAAACTGACTGTTAAATTTACCAAAATTTATAAATATTTCAGAGTCTTTCCCTTTTGTTAAGAATTTCCTATAACTGAGTGTTTTAATGTCACCAATAGTCAACCGACTGATATTACTAAGATATCAGGACAGGAACAATTTACTTAGACAAAGATGAAGATCAGACAGAAAACCAAATGCGTTCGGAGAAATCTTGACAAAATTTAAAATATTCTCAAAACATTTTGTGAACTACAAGTACGGTTTACTTTTGTTTGAACTACTCATAGTCTTACCTACTTAGTTACTTACACCTATTATTCCCAATGGAGCATAGGCCTTCGATAACCATTCTCCAATCCACTCTGTCCTTAACCTTCCTTTCTTGTTATATCCAACTGTTGTTCATTCTTCTCATATCTGTCTCCATTTCTTGGCATAATGTGTTCTGTGGTCTTCCTCTCCTCCTTTGGCCTTCAGGATTTCAAGTGAGGGTGTGCCTTGTGACACAGTTGAGTGCTTTCCTCAATATGTGTCCTATCCACTTCCAGCGCTCCTCTCTGATTTCTTCTTCCGCTAGAATCTGGTTCGTTCTATCTCAAAGTAGGTTGTTCCAGATAGTGCGCGGCCAACGGATCCGAAGTGTTTTGCGTAGACAACCATCAATAAATACTTGTATCTCCTGGATGATGACTTTCGTAGTTCTCCAAGTTTCCGCTTCATACAGTAGAAGTGTCTTGACATTTGTACTGAAAATCCTGACCTTGGTGTTGGTTGACAGTTGTTTCGGGTTCTAGATGTTCTTCAGTTGTAATATGATGCTCTTGCTTGCCGATCCGCGTCTTCACATCTGCATCAGATCCACAATGCTCATCAATGATGCTGTCCAAGTATATAAAGGTTTTTGCATCCTACAAACTTCTTCGTCAAGTGTGAATTGATTGATACTTGTTGTGTTGTATCGGAAAATCTTGCTTTTAACTTTTTGTATGTTGAGATCTACTCCTGCTGAGGCTGCGGCTCCACTGGTCGTCTTCTACTGCATTTGTTGTTGCGTGTGCTACAGAAGAGCCAGATCATCTGAGAAGTCTAGATCGTCCAGCTGCATCCTAGATATCCACTGTATCCCGTGCTGTCCCCCAGATGCTGACATCTTCATAATCCAGTCGATCAAAAGGAGAAATAGTAAGAGTGAGAGTAAACAACCTTGGCTGACTCCGGTTTTTACTCCGAACTAGTCCAAGTTTATAAAGTTTTTAACATCCTCTGCATGGAGCTCCTCTTGGGCTACTGCCGGTCACAAGCTCGGATGAAGGAGGAGGGTTGGGCATGGGGTTAGCAACACCATCCCGTAGAAAACTAACTCGCCAAAACAACGCTAACCAGAAGAAATATTTCAAACCATGTAAACTCTGTCCTGGGAGTTAGAAGCTCTTCATTAAGGAGAGTTTTGATGTATCATGAATAAATCCGAGTTCCTTCGGAAGCCACGTGGCTGATGTCCCTTCTGACAACCGGGGCAATCGTTAATCCTGGTCATTAATTCCCAGTCTATCCGTCTATAAATTGAATAGTGAATGACATTCTGGATATTCTTCATGTAGTCATATACTTTGCAGCTCAGAGTTTGAAACAAGATTGCTAATCTACGATCATCGTGCATTTATGTTAATCATGACCAGTCTCAATAATGAATGTTATTATGGCGTAACGTTAGTTGCATAACTCTCAAACACATGGTACCACGCAAGATACTCAACATCTATTAACCGGATACCATCAGCAACAGCCTTTTGTGGGAGAGAACAAACCAGCGTCCAGCTGGAGAAGAAATTAGGAAAAGACGATGGGAATGGATAGGACGCACATTACGAAAATCACCAAACTGCATCGCGAGGCAGGCCCTAACTTGTAATCCTGTAGGGAAGCGGATAATGGAAAGTTAAAGAATATATTATGTCGGGAAATAGAAGCAGATATGAAAAGATGAATAACAACTGGGAAGAGCTGGAAAAGACTGCCCAGGACAGGGTTGGATGGAGAGTGTTGGTGGGCGGCCTATACTCCTCCCCGAGGAGTAACAGGCGTAATCAAGTACATGATACCGACCAACTTGGAAAATCAATAGTAATAAAGTCTGAATAAAATATACACATCAGAATCCATTAATTTTTTATTTAGAAGTCCACAATATTATTAGCACAATACATTCTTAACTCAGTCAGTCAGTCAGCTACAACGTTCTTAACTATTTAATCGTAAATTGCCTTTTTAATTGAAGGAAAGGTATATAAAACAACCGAGATAATAGAACAAGACAATAGTCACGCTACTTTGGAAAGTAAATCAAAACTGATCTTTTTATGGTAGGTTTAATGTAGGTACGGCAGCCTGTTTTTGAATAGTTAAGGGAGGGAGGTAGGGAGGGAGATTTAAGTTTCTCATGTTTGGATAGACACACTTGAGAACTTCCATGAAACAATACGAAGGTGGATTCTAAATAAATTTACTATCCATCACCGAACTATAGGATGATGTACACGTACTTTTTTGAGTGAGTAGGTTTGGACATGTTACAGGACCATCATATGTTAATGAATGTTATTGAGTATCCTTTTGTTTCATCTTCGACAAAACGGTTCACGCATATAATGTTATTCATATGAAATGGACCAGTAACAAGTGCCAAATTATGATGCTGTGGTAGATGATAATCATTAGTCTTGATGTTAACTTCTGTATTCAGATCCATGTGATTTACCTCATTACAAGGCATTGCGGAATCCTGCTGTGCCGTTGCCTAGTCGTCAGTCAGATACATTCCTAAATGTTCGTGATCGTCTGCTTTATTGTGGACGCGCATTTAATATGAAGGGGTCATTTGGTTTGGAGAGACGTTGCTTTATGATTAGCAAATTACCTGACAGAATATGGATCGGTAAGTTATCATAGAAATTTCAGTTTTGTTGTCAGTCGAATGCTATTATTTATAGTTGAAAGACTAAGTTTATTCAGGGATTCGTTGCAATAATATTCATTTCGACAGAAATACATTACAACTCAAAGCTTGACGAATTGAGTTTCTACAAGTTGTGAGTATTACATGATCGTTTTCACGATAATGTTAACCTCCATTCATTAATAAATAAACAAATAACAATATATATATACAACATCTAATCTATATCTTTGTGTGTTTTAGTGGGTTAGAATCGAAATATATTACCTTCTTGATTATCTAAAGATGTTTTAGCATTTCAAGATGATTGAGACAAATAAATTGAAGGATGTTTTGTTGTTAGAATTAAAGAAAGCAACCTTTCTGAACAGAAAACTATTTCATTGCTTCTTTGGTGCTTCTTGTGTTAGCTAATGTTGAATATACTGGATATGCGAACTATTTTATTCTAACCAAAGTTCGAAGTAAACAATGATACGGATATTGATTTTGTTAGAAACACACATATTTAGACTTTTTAAACTTATTATTTGGTCATTAATAAACAACCACTATTTCATCATCCTAAAGGATACTCAATAACACAAAAAGGGGAAATAAAGGCGAAGAAAGAGGAAATAAAGGGGTAAATGCTTTGGTGACGAAAGGGGAAATAAAAGGGAAAACGCGCCAGAATGTCGCCTTTTTCGCCTATACGGGGAAAATAATGCGGATTTTCCCCTTTTTTGCCGTTTTGTCGATAAATTACCGACTTATCGCCTAAATATCCGCCGAATTGTCTACTTTTCGCGCAAATACACATAACTCCTATGTTCGCCTTTAATTTCAAAAACAGACCAAAATATATCTGCAATGCAGTGGAAAAGCGGTACATTTTTGAAAATTTGTATTTAAAAGGAAAAGCGTATTATTGTACAACACTAGAGCCGAAGGTTAAGCATCGATTGTTTTGCATATGCAGTGCAATTGCTAGTTCATTGTTATTTGAAATTATCTGCAAAAGAAGGAGCAGGTGATGTTTTATTTATAAGGAATGTGCATTTAAGCAAAAGTTAAGTGAAACTCAAACACACATTCTCAACACTTCTACAGTTTCCCATGTAAGTAAAAGAGTAAGCTGTTCGAAAAAAAATGTTTATTGAAATGTAGGTAGAACATCAAAACAATTGCACGGCTATTGAGAATTGAGGTAGTCGTCCCGTGAATTCTGAATTAAAAAAAGAAGAAAGTCACGACCATATCTCAATGACATGCTTTGATACAGCCAAATACTTGAAGTTGAACTTACGGTTATGTTCGTTAGCATTGTTGACTGTAACTATAGAGCCGTAGGGAGGTTATCACTTTAAATTAGTACATACCTGGCCATGTTTTCTTCTATTACGCTTTATCATCTTGTCTCGGATATCGTGAAAGTAACCTTGTGTCGCGATGTCATAGAGCTTACCAAGGTCTTTTTCGTTGACAGAGGATGACAGAAAGCGATGAGTTAAGTCACCTGAAGTTTAAGTAATAGATGTAGGTTACTTCGTATGCAGCTGTAAAATGTGCATTTCTGTAGTGCTCGTTTTGAAGAGGTGCCAAGTAACGTGAAGTTACTGGCGAGCTCAGGTGTCAAGAGGTATGACAGAACAAAACGCATCGACGTTTTTGGATCGTCACTTGATAACCTAGTGACCATTGCCATCTGTAATCGTAACAAATTATTAAATTCATGGTAATGACTTACAAATCTGTCCCTGGTTTCTTTCTGCGGCAAACCAGTATCCAGCATCTGTAGTTCCTCTTCAGATGACAAAGGGAACTGCTGACTCGATAGTCCGCAATCGAATTGATGCGGTCTTTCGCGCTCATTAGACTTCGAAAGCAATTGCTTTACATTAACAGTCAAATCCGAAATGGCTGTTGACATATTCAGCAACGTTTGACTGAAGTCATTCATGGTTGACGAAATGTTTTGCACCATTGCATGCAACCTATCTAACCTGAAAAAGTCCACTTGATGATGCAGGTGACTTACTGGTCTGCTGAAGCACCATGGACACGCTTTGATGCAGATGTAGACGGGGATGTCTCTAATTGCGTCGAACTAATTTTTGAACATGTAAATAGTCATGAAACTTACTCAGCAATAGGCGAAACTAATTTGTCAAACAACCTGAATTTGGGATATTGAACATGAGTATTGCCAGCCTGCATTTCAGCAACATCCATGTCTACTGAATTGTAAAGATATTCTTGTTTACGCTTCATGGCAGCTCTAGGAAATGTTAGTAAGATTATTGTAAATACCTCTTGTGCTTTTCAGTGTTATGTGGCAGAGTGTTTTCATCCGTTGAAATATTTTCCCAAAACGGTTCACGCATATAATGTTATTCATATGAAATGGACCAGTAACAAGTGCCAAATTATGATGCTGTGGTAGATGATAATCATTAGTCTTGATGTTAACTTCTGTATTCAGATCCATGTGATTTACCTCATTACAAGGCATTGCGGAATCCTGCTGTGCCGTTGCCTAGTCGTCAGTCAGATACATTCCTAAATGTTCGTGATCGTCTGCTTTATTGTGGACGCGCATTTAATATGAAGGGGTCATTTGGTTTGGAGAGACGTTGCTTTATGATTAGCAAATTACCTGACAGAATATGGATCGGTAAGTTATCATAGAAATTTCAGTTTTGTTGTCAGTCGAATGCTATTATTTATAGTTGAAAGACTAAGTTTATTCAGGGATTCGTTGCAATAATATTCATTTCGACAGAAATACATTACAACTCAAAGCTTGACGAATTGAGTTTCTACAAGTTGTGAGTAATACATGATTCAAGGAAGATGTGCAAATGGTGTACGTATTCAATGAACTGTTTTGCAAATCGCTTTACAAGTAAATGCTGTGTGTGTATTTCTTTCTCGGTAAACAGTATTGCTCACACTGTTAGTACTGCATGTTCGTCATACTACTGCGGCCTGCTTGGATGTCTGTGCTACCTGTTTCTACTATCTGATTATTTCAACAAGTTATCTGTTTCCCTTCATTTGTTTTAACTTATAATTATGTCCATTAATCGTATAACCTATTCAGGCGCTTTTATGAAAAGCCTACAACCTCAGGTTACAAAAAGTACTATAAAAGACATCATGGTGGCTGGCAATATGCGTTGAAGAGAATGAATATTAGTCGTATGTCAATTTCCGAGCTGCTAAATTCTAACTGTCGATCACTAATCAACAAAGTGGACTATCTGCAATTCCTACTATAGTAGGAAAATATGTATTGTAATTGTGGTGTAATCACAATTGAAGAATCTTTGTTAAATAATTTACAGGACGACTGCCTAGTATCGCCACGTGATTTCAAAATTTATCGTCAGGATCGATCAAACATTAAAAAAAGAGGTGTGGTGGCGGTGTAGCTACCCTAGACAACCAAAAAAGGGGAAATAAAGGGGTAAATGCTTCGGTAGCAAAAAGAGAAATAAAGATGAAAACGCATCAGAATGTCGCTTTTTTCGCCTGTCCGGGGGAAATAATGCGAATTTTCACATTTTTCGCCGTTTTGTCGATAAATTACCGACTTTTCGCCTGAATTTCCGCTGAATTGTCTACTTTTCGCCTAAATATCCGCGGAATTACCGACTTTTCGCCTAAATTTTCGCCAAATTGTCTACCTTTTGCCTAAATTCCGCGGAATTGCTTACTTATATGCTTAATTGTCTACTTTTCGCCTAAATACACACAGAACTCCCTATTTTCGATCCATCGACATAACCCCAAAGGTCTCCTATGTTTACAAACGTACGTTTGTAATCATAAACTGGTGTCGATCTTCGTTTGTGTGTTTTAAGTTTTCAAATGGCTTTATCGACTGTCTAACTCTATGATGTCGTCCAAAACATCTGAATAAATACAAATATGTTTATGTTAACAATATCTACGTGACTCCAGATTGCACATCATCTGCACTATCTGTTTTCGCTGATGAATTCACTGAGTTCGCTGTTACTGCCTTCAGTGATCCACTTTCAGTTGTATGTGGTGATTTCAATTCATGTGGCTGTAGCTTCCTTACGTCACTAGGTCACCAAAACGTAGTAGATTTTCCTACTCGTTTGGATGCTCATTTAGAATTCGTTTTCATTAATGATGTGGGTATATATGCGACTCGTAAATGTGCCCCATTGTCTAGCTCGGACCACTGTATAATTCGTGTTCTACCTGAAGTATATGGAAAGCATGGGAAGAGTACACTCTTACATCAAACCAAGAAAGTCAAATATAGGAATTACTCAGAAGAAAATATCCGAAATCTGAAAAACATGTTTCATACGACTAACCGGGAATTATTTACAGATGACTCACTGGATAACACTACTGATGTTATCACTTGTTACCTTAAATTCTGTTCTGATATTTGTTGTCCCACTGAAACCATTTTTGTAAGTTTTGATCGACTTACATCTACACAGCTAAAACGACTACGGAGGATGAAAGAAAGAATGTACAAGGAGAAGAACTCTAATGAAGTTCGTAAGCTGAATGGTCTGATAAACCTAGAGATTAGACGTCTCAACTGTATGTTTACTCAAAAACTATTGTCTTGCAAAAACTCTCCAAGTATGTGGAAACTCTTTAAAGAACTTACAGGTGACAGACAGTTTAAAAGCGATAACCAGCTGAATGTTTGTGACTTAAGTAAGTCTTTTTGTACGTCAGTCATCTGATGTGATGCTCCCTCTATCCACGGGTTTGAATAATAGCTGTGTTCCTACTTTCACTGAAACTGATGTACGAAGCTGTCTCCAGTCGCTTAATTCATCTCGATGTTTGGGACCTGATGGTATCCCAAACATCCTTTTTAAAAAGTGTGCTGACGACCCATGTTATCCGTTCACAGCTATCTTTAATAGATCCTTCTCATCTAATTTCATACCGAAAATGTGGAGAAAGATGAAGATAATTCCTGTACCCAAGAAAGCATCTGGTGATAAAAATGTAAAATTTGGATCTATTGCAATAACTTCACCCCCCCCCCCTCAAAACAATGGAGAAATTATGAATACTTCCACTTCAGTCTGCGATAAAAAGCATATTGATCCATATTAGTTTGCTTACAGACGCAAAAGAAGCACTTTAGATGCTGTTGCTGTTCTGCATCACAACATAGTGTTCAACTTAGAAAAGGGTAAGAAGTATGTTCGATGTGCTTTTCTGGACTATACTTCAGCTTTTGATCCTATACCAAGACAACGTTTAATTAACAAGTTAATCAGCGTCAACACTGACAGCTGGATAACCAACTGGCTATGTTCCTACTTCTCTGGAAGGGAACAGTACACTGTGTTTGGAGGAAAGTGTTCAGAGTCTCTACTGTCTCATGAAGGCGTACCACAAGGAGCTGTTCTTTCACCTCTTCTTTTCCCTTTTTTTCTGCATGATCTGCCATCTTCCACAGAAAACACTTTTTTGAAATATGCGGATGATCTCACTGTATGTATGCCAATCTCTTCCTCTTTACATCCCATAGAAATGAATGAGTTTTCGTCTCGTATTGATTGTCGTTCTGTTGGTAATGGTCTCATACTTAATCCGTCTAAATGTCAAGCTGTTAACTTTAGCATGAGACATGAACGGAATCTCAACACCATTTTGAAATCCCATAATGCTTGTACCATCGGAGACTCTTTGATAAACTCAGTGTCGAAGGTCAATTATCTTGGTGTCACCTTTTCCTCTGATCTATCTTGGTCTTCTCACGTTTTATTGTTATCAAAGAAGGTTGTCCGTCTGACCTACTACATAAAGAGATTGCATGCTGTTGGGATTAATCGTCATTTACTCTTACAATTTGTCAATTCTTGCATATTGCCTATTATTCTTTACTGTTCTCCATTATTCTTTCCCGCGCTTTTGAGGAAAGACTTTGCTGTATTGCGGAGAGTGCTGAAGGCAGTTAGCAAGATGTGTGGTGAATCTTTTGAGGTCATAATTAATATGGTTGTGGATAGACATTTAAAATCATGCAAACTCCTGACAGGTGTTATTTTATCAGATACTAGCCATCCCCTTCACTCTTATCTTTCTCCTTGTATATCTTCTGGTAGAACGAGACGTAATTACATTAAAATCCATGCACGCAAGCAAAAGTATGAAAGTTCTATAATACCTTACCTAGCAGATATACTCTGTGACAAACAGGTTGTTAGAGTTAACCTAGTCAATAACTTGCATTCTTAACATGTCCTTAATTTTAAAAGTTGTACAGTTTTTCATTTTCTTTCTTTTTTTAAAAAAACCTTTTTCATTTTTTTTGTATTCGTTACTGTTTTTTGTTGTTGTTGCGTAAGTAACTTGTTGAAATAACCTGTGCTGAGAATTCTGTATTGTACCAAACCATAATATTGAATAAAGCCATTAATAATAATAATAATAATTATTATTATTATTATTATATGTCGCTATTCGAGTCAGTTTCTGTAGTTAAAATTCATAACTGAATGAGGACACATTATCATAATCTACAAACACAAGTGATATAATTTCCATTGTTTATACAGATTGAGATTCATTCACTCTTTTGAAATTAGTGGATGTTGATAAACAGTGTTTATCCATTCGATAATCTAGTTCGTTTATTAAACACAGGATAAAACCAGTGGAATTGATACAAACATAGTATTTATGATAATGAACAAACAAATATATGTTCACTTAAATAGCTTACTTAAATAGAATTTTGATTATTTGGATATAAAGTTTGTCCATTACAAACAACACATAACGTGGGGATCAGTAAGTAGGTCTCATACGTGATTACGTTCAGAACAGTATAATCTTACCTGTTTTCATATAATTTACCTTTAGTTTGCATCAACCAAATCTATGCCAGCCAAATGCTGTTAGCTAATTGGACTTACACATGCCCGAAAATCAAGCTGTTTTAATTAACCAATTATCTCCACCGGAAATACGAACATAGCTTAAACACTGATGAGCTTAAGTCGTGTTGAATTCAAGTTGTATACGATTATGTAGTTGTCAGTTAATTTCTATTTATACTGTTGTCTCATTATTCATCTAAACATTTACCTATTTTTAATTAATTACATGCTTGTAAAACTTCAGTTTCTTTTGCTTTAATGAAAACAAATATCATTTGAGTAACAAAATAGTTGAAAGTCAAACCTTTGGGTCTGTTACTCGCCAATGTAAGAACCGAATTTCGAAGTGTGTTCCGTTTCAGTGGATAGTTAGTTTGATTTTAAAATTCATAGTGATGTCATGTAAAGCTCTGTAAAAGTGAAAAGCAAAATGACTGCACACTAGATTAGATTCTCTGTCGTGGAATGACGGCAAAAAAAAACCATGCATTTGAGTAAATGATGTAATTACAAAGTGAAGATTTGTACTGTTTTAAAGTCACTATAATTCCAACAAGAGATGAGTTCAACGTTATTCCATGCTAAATGATTGTAAGAGAGACATCCAAATGTGAAATGTATATAAATGCTAGTTGGTGACCGTGTCATATCGAACTAAAAACTTGTACATGTACGTGGTTGTGAAGCCACTAAAAACCGTGATAGACTAACAATCTCATTCAATAGTTAATGACAATTCTACGGATATGAGTTTATATCTCTTGTTGAAATTGTT